AGAGCTCAGGAATGTGACCTCCACCCCCGTCCACGCGCTCCTTCTGAGCTTCAACTCACACTCTCTCCCTTAAGTACAGTTTCTCTGTTCTTCATGAGAACGAAGTGGCATCAGTCCAAAGACAGCAACCCATATCTGTCCATGCTGTCACCTATACCTGTCAGTGTGGACCTAACCAGCTCATTTTCAAGATGCCACATCCTACAAAGGTCTGTGGCAGGGCAGGGGTTCCCAAGTCTAAGATACTTGACCATGTCTTTAGTAACACCACCATCTATGTTGTTTAGTTTACTTACACAGACTTGCTGAAAAAAAAAAAAAAAAAAGGTAAGCAACGTTAATTCTAATGGTATGGTTTGAGCAACATTAACACTAAGGGCACAGTTTGAGTAAAGCTGACACCAAGGGCCCGGTTTGAGCCACGCTGACACTAAGTGCATGGTTTGAGCCACGCTGACTCTAAGGGCCCAGTATGAGCCACACTGACACTACAGCCCAGTTTGAGCCGCCATGTTAATTCTAAGGGCATGGTTTGAGTAACAGTAACACTAAGGGCCCGGTTTGAGCCATATTAACATCAAGGGTACAGTTTGATATGCTAGTTTTATGTTTTCCCGTTGTTGGTAGGCAGTGTCAAGTTGGCTCTGACTTACAGCAACCCCTATTTACAACAGAAGGAAACAGAGCCCAGTCTTGCACCACCCTCAACCATTGCTACGTTTAGCTCATTGCTGCAGCCACTCTGTCAGTTCATCTTGTGGAGGGCCTTCGTTTTTTTCGCTTACCCTAAATCACACTAAAACCTACAACTACTAACGCCAAGTCCTAGACTCACCTGGCACTGCACAGGTGCACAGTGGTTGGATTCCAGGCCATCCAAGAGCCCCCCAAAGGAAAAAGCTCGTGTGCTTTCTCCCAGACACACATACCCAAGTCCCGTCCCCAAGGTCAGGATTTGTATGCACTGTCAGAGTTCACCTAGGACTTCCAGTGAGCTCAGGACCCCGAACTCAGCTCTAAAATTTGTAGAAAGATCTATGAAGGCAACAGTGGGCAATGATAGATTAGCGATTGTATTATTGTATCTGCTTTTCTTTTTTAAAGGTGGCTGCAGATTTTTCAGGGAGCTCTGGTAGCATAGTGGCTAAGGCACTTGACTGCTAACCAGAAGGCTGGCGGTTCAAACCCACCAGCCACTCCTCGGAAGGAAGATGGGACAATCTACTTCCGTAGTGATACTGCCTTGGAAACCCAAGGAGGGGTCGCTATGAGTCAGGTCCGACTTGATGGCACATAACGACAACAGCAGATTTTTCAACTCAACATTGCACCTTAATTTAAACAGGTAATTTTAGTAATTTTCAAGAATGCTTTCTGTCTAACAACTTACAAGAAGATTTCCCCAAGTGCAAAGTTTGCAATTTAAATGCCATTAACCCTCCCCTGAAGTTGGTTTAAATGGGTGTGAACGGGATTGTTCTCTGTACAAAGTCAGTTGTTTCAGCAGCCAAGGGTCAAGCACACAGGCGTGTTAAAAATGGCACATTCCACAGAAGAGTAACAGACTCCGTACAGAGACCCACAAGAACAGCAGGTCCATTGGCACATTGTCACCAAAGCCTGAGATGAGAGGAGCTGAGTGCCTGGGAGGGTCTGGGCAGCACACAGCCAGCAGGACACAGCTGTAGTCAAGCTTTCCTGTGAGGGCATGGACAGGGAGCTGTGAAGCTTCTCTTAGGATTGGCTGAGGAAGGATGTGTCAGATGATCCCTCCACCTAATAAACTATACTCACAAGGAGGGACCAGGCCAGACAACACAGACTCTGTTACTCAACTTGGCAACACCTTCGCTAATGCAGGACAAGAGGCATGTGTGCAATCAGTCTCAATCCCAAAGAAACCGAGTCATGATCTCATCTTGACCCTAATGCCACAGTATTTCAAACCTCCAGATTATCAGCTTTTTAAATGCTTCTCAACTGCAGCAACACAGTCATGTAAAAATCTGGAAATCAAAGACAAGTATGAACAGAGGAGAAGAAACGGTCACAATTCTATCAGAAGCCACTCAGAGCCTATCAATACTTCCTACACGTTTCTATCTATCAATTTCTCCAGCCCAGGTGAGGTCGTGCTGCGTGAATAACTTTGTGATCTGACATCATGTAACTAAACCCAGTGCCGCCAAGTCGATCCAGACACACAGCGACACTACACAGGTGAAAATAAAGAGCCTTATCTGGAACCCCAAAAAGTGACACACTTGTGCAGAGCCAGGTGGTGCTGGGCAGGGGGCGGGGGGGGGGCTGGTGAGGGCCCCAGGGGTCCAGGAGAGGAGTAGGGCCGGCCGGCGGGTATGCAGGCGGGACAGGGCTTTGACTGTGGGGTGCAGATGTGAACGGCAGTTGATGTGCCCCGGGGACCTTCATCTGCATTCGCTCCTGATGACGCCCCGAGCAGCTTGGTGGCAGCTGCCAGTGCCGTGCCTCCACCCTGACCCACTCCGCGCCTTTCTGGCTGCAGTCGGCTTCGGTGCTCAGCACTTTAGTCAGACTGCTCTTGCTTCAGCTCATGGTGTGTTCCTGTGAGACCTGAAGGGCACCTGTCTCTGTGGAAGGCTGTGATAGCACCTCATCCTCTGTGCACCATGCCCTGTGACCCCCTCCTCTAGAGCACAGCCATGCATCTGGGCAAGCAGCACCTGGACTGCCAAAAAGCTTTGCTAGATGGCTTGGCATTTTTAAAAAGCATGACATCATTGAAACACCTGTAAACTGAGCTATTTCACACCAACACTGTGGATTCCCTGCTTCTCAGGACAACCTGGAGTCCCAGTCCCTGCCATTGGACACAGCCACACCCTCATCTAACCCACTGCCAAGTCCTGCTGGCTCTAACTGCCTCAGCCCTGCTGGGTATGGAGGCTGGGCCTGGACGCTGGGCTTGTGGGTCTAAAACCGAGCGCCCCAGTCAGATGTGCTCAGTTCCACAAATTCTGCAGCTACCCCAATACCTACCCTGACAAGAGCTCAGCTCTTGCTCACTGCAGAAACAGGCAAAGAGGGACCCCCAACAATGACTGTAATGAGGAAGGCGAAGGCTAGGAACTGGTGCCCAAAGACAGCCCCTGCTGGGGTGACACAGCCAGAAGCCTTGTGAACAGATCCTTGGGGCCCTGGCACCTGCCACAAGCTATGACTCATCTCAGGCCTCTAGGGCAGAGACGTGGAAGCAATGTTGGCAGGGGGGGCACGTGGGGCATGTGGGGCACGTGGGGCACGGGAGAGCTGTGCCGTGGCCTTCTGGAGCCTGTGCACGCACTGACCTTCCACACCCCCGGGAGCCCTGTGTGACCGGGCTGGGACACCACTCAGTCCAGGGAGACCACGCCACCTGCTCCAAGGCCTGCTCCCACCTTCTCCTTAGGAGCGTCTCCCCTGTCGCTCCCTGTAGGAGACTGTCCGCCCTCCACGACTGACTACGTAAGCATACCACGCCCACATGCACCACTGACGAGCAGGGCTGATGAGCAACATCACGCCCCTCCAATTCCACTTTTCTCCTACGCAACGAAGTTTCATGGCTTTGGGAATTTGGTGAAGTACCCAAAACTACATTTAACTCACACAAATTCAATGCAGGTTCTGAAAAAGAAAACAAGAAAGAGGAGACTGTCCTCTCAGCGATTTATAACCTGGCTGAGCATGAGATGGAAGTGAACTCTCCTGGTCTCTGCAAAACACCATCCTCACACAACGCCCCAGCGTGAGCACCTTGTTGTGTTGAGTATCATTCAAGTTTCTCAGTGTCCCACACGTAAGAGTTGTCTAAACAAAAGCCCACAACACGTGCTCACATGCTCAAGGTTTAGATGAAGCCCACACCACATGTACCGTGCTCACACAGACCGAGTTTAAAAACCTACTGCACACACACCGTGCTCCATGAGTGCTTCACAGAACGTTCGGAACAACCCTGCCTAGCTGTACATGTGGTGTCCTATACTGACTGTGGAATATGATCACCAGGGAAAATGCAGCCGTGTGACACGGATCTGCCACGTGACACCAGATCTGGTCTTCGACCTGAACATTTAAAGAAAATCGGATTTGACTGAATCATGTGAAGACATCATCCAAGTGCTGAAGTTTGAGAGTTTTCAGGATACAGAGAATTCCATCACGTGACCAATTTTCAAAGCCTGAGATTATTAACGTAGCACGTCAACATCCCACAGCAGTCCGCTGCACAGCTGTGCTACAGTGAGTGCAGAGAACACAATGCCACCTTTAGCAGGAGCCTGGCCCCGGAAGAAGAGTAGCTTACATCTTAAACCAGAATTAAGCTTTGGCTAAACTTCCAATAACTAAATGTCAGGCAAGCGTCACAGACTCATTCTATCAAATTCTGTGACAAGTCGACGGCATAGAGAGATTCTAGTAGCTTTTGCCAAAGGTCATTGACTCATTAAACGTTTATGAATCCAATACGATAATGAAAATGAACTGATACTGAAACAAAGGTTAAACATTTTCAAGTGATTTCTTACACAGAACTCTAAGCTCTATCTTCTTCACCTAATAATCTTCAAGAAATCAGAAAGCTAAGAACAGCAGCCGGTCAAAGCCAGCAGCTGTGCCGTGCCGTCTCCCTCTTCAGAGAGCAGTCATGGCAGACAAGTCAAGCTATCTACTCAGGAACCCCCACCCCTAACAGAGCTGTGACTCTGTTCTGGGCAGCAATGTGCCCCACAGAGAGCCACACTTCCCAGCCTCAGTGTGGGGAGGGAAGACCAGGTGACACGGCTGTGGCCAGTCTGTGGCTCCTGGGACGAGTTTTAAAGGGGACCGAGTCATCTGGCGCCTGCTTCTGCCTTGCCTCTGCCCTGCCCTGGTCCTCGGCTCCTTGGGGCCCTGGCACCAGATCTGACTGCCCACCTCGTATCTGCTTGGCTGAGTGCCACTCAGCATGACACAGCCACCGCGGGCCAGGTACTCACAGTCGGTCGTGTATTCCACCTGGGGGGGTTGTGCAGCTGTGCCCTCGGCTGCCTGGGGGGTGGGTGTGGAGCTGTCGGCCTGGGCTTTACGGACAAGCGCTGCGAGAGGGTGATCGGGATCCACCACCTTCAAAGGCTGGAGACAGAAAGGACGCGGTCTCAGCTCCGTGTGCAGAAAGCGCCAGCTCAGCTTCCCGACACACAACGTGGGACCCTTCCTCCAGCGCTGTCTGCAGAAAGCTTTCCAAACACCAGGTCTTACCGCCTGCTCAGGAGCTCCGGTGGCCCAAGAGGTGTGCTTGGCTGCTAAGCAAGAGGCTGGCGGTTCGAACTCACCAGCTGCTCAGTGGGAGAAAGACGAGGCAGTCTGCTTCCACAAAGATGACCACCTCAGAAACCCTCTGGGCAGCTGTGCTCTGTTCTACAGGGTCACTCCGAGTCAGAATTGACTCAGTGGCAATGGTTTTTGGTTTACCACATGCTGTGGGAAAGACAGGCACAAACACAGAACTCCTAGAGGTCCCTGACTACTTGTGATGCAGTACTCCAGCTGGTGTGAGTTCTAGAGCGGCCCAGTCAGAAAAGCTCCAACGCCAGCAGGAGCCACTAAGGGAAAGGAGGGAGGAGAGACAAAGGTGGCAATGCCCAAGGTCACTCCAAGCTGGCAACTGTCTGTTCCTGAAGGGACTTCTGGTTTTTAATCACCAACAGCTTTACCACCATGTCGTTGTTGCTATTATGTGCCATCAAGTCGGACCTGACTCACAGCAACCCCTCCTTGGGTTTCTGAAGCGGTATCACTACAGAAATAGATTGCCCAACATTCCTTCCAAGGAGTGGTTGGTGGGTTTGAACTGCCAGCCTTCTGCTTAGCAGTCAAGTGCCTTAGGCACTGTGCTACTAGAGCTCCTTAATCATGAATCATCTCCTCAAGGGATGGTCCCAGGCAAACACTATGCACAGGCCAAAGGGACTCTTTTCTGTCACAAGTGGCGGGAGGAGGGTGTGTGCTAACCATATACCATGCTGAGTGGCTCTTCTATAATAGGAGCTCTAAGGAAAGATGAAAAGTCAAGATGCTGACCTTAAACCTATGGCAGGTATGGAGCACCTCCAGAAGTGCCAATTCTGAACACCTACAACCCCCAATCCTGTGACAGGGAAACAGCCACGACAAAATGATGCCAAGTCTTAGCCAACAGGCTGCTTATGATAAGTATCCCAAGATATTCTGAGAAAATAAAGATAATCTGCTCGTGAAATCTACACTAAAGGATAGGGAAGAAAACCCCCTGCCACAGAGCTGAGGACTTTCTCTGCCCTCAGTGGCGGGAAAGCAGCTACAGCTGTAGCGAGCACGGAGACCCAAGCTCACCACCCGGACATCCTGTCAGGGCATGAGAAACAGTCCCACAACGAGATAAAAACCTTCATGAGCTCCTCCAGGCGACTGCACTTCCTGGAAGCAAAGAGAGACGGATGCAGGTAATTACCGTCTTCTTCGTCATCATCATCTTCATTGTCAGAGACGACCCCTGATTCTGAAAATCAAAAGGACATCTTACCACTGGCACAAGGTGAGGGGTAACGAATAAAACACCTCAGGTGAAGAGCCAGAGCCAGAGCCAGATGTGGCTATTTCTTGGTCACTGATCCAAAATATACACCTGGAAAATGCCCGCTATAGTGGTGCCATCCAGGTGTTGACAACTGAGGCAGAGGCGGGGGAGGGAGCAGGATGTGACCTGGCAACTTCGCTCCGGCACTAACTGGGTTGAAGGTACTGGATGTCATCTTCAAGCCCTGAGCTATTTCAGTTTCTTTAGAAAAAGGCAAAAATCTTACTGATTTATGGAATTGGACTGATTCATGATTTCTGTTGGCAACAGAAATGAAAGAAGATAAATGAACAAACTTGGGGAAAATGAGATCTGCAATAAGGTTTATACAACTCCAATTTTGGAAACATAGTCAGGTGCAAAAAGCAATATTCAATGGAACACTGTGTATGTGCATGTAGATTCAGAGCACAGCGACCCTCCTTGGGTTTCAGAGGTGGTAAATCTTTTATGGAAGTAGACTGCCCCGTCTTCCTTCCGTGGAGTGGTTGAGGGGTTTGAAGTACTGACCTTCCGGTTAGCAGTCAGAGGCCTTTTACATGTATAAAAGCTCCACCACAACTCCTTTTATATGTATAAGGAGCTCTGGTGGTATGATGCACAAGACATTTGTCTGCTAACCAGAAGGTCAGTGCCTCAAACCACCAGCTATTCCACGGAAGGAAGACGGGTCAGTCAACTTCCATAAAGACTCACAAACTCGGAAACCCTGTGGTGCAGTTCTACTCTGTCCTCTAGGGTCACTATGAGTCGGAATTGACGGATGGCAGTACATTTGGCCTTTGGTTCTCTGAGTAAGAACTCCAACCTTAGACATTTCTGCAAACATAACGTTTTCAGACAGATAATCCAAGTGATGTGAGCAACTCTCTTGGCCAGGGAGACTCACACTCGCTTTGTGCCTCTCTGGCAGTGGGGCAAGGGTACCGCTGGGAAGCCTCAGGGAGTGCGAGCCCTCACTGTCTCCCTGATGTGTCAAACAGCCTGCAAGCTGCAGGAGTATGTGCCGACAGCACCAGAATTTAACATTACCTCACCTACCTGTAAAAACACCTCATCAGAATCCAGCGTACTTCAGAATGCATCATGGATGCCTTGTACCACACCATACCCGATGGGGTGATTAGCCTGCACTACTGGCAGGATTTCAGACACACCCTAGAAACACTGCCGCCCAAGTTTCAAGCCCGTGTCTCTAGGGATGGACATGTCTGTGGTTTCCTACAGCCACCTGCCCCGCCCCTCAGCCCAGCCCGACAGGTTGGGCTGGACAGCTCAGCACCAGCCCCACGTACTTTTCTCCTCTTCAGCTTTGTTTCCTGCTGGAGCCGTGTAACGCCCCTCCCTCATGGCTTTCTGGATAAGTCTGTAGTAGGGGTTGAGGTAGTGATCGAAACGCAGAAAGTCAAACTGTGAGTTCCGGGCCTGCTTGGCTTTCAGCATGATCTCAAACTGGGCGCCCTGCCGGCACACGAAACTGGCTGTGCGCTCGATGATGGCGTGCATTTTGGCCGTTGGTGGCTGCGGGAAAGGACACACACTCACGTCATCTGCTTTTCCCGTCACTGCCTAAGGTAATTACCAACAGAAATCACCAGGCTGTGTCACTGTTTATAACAAGACTCACCTGCACTGGGGGAGGCAGTCGTGACCCTCAGGCACCCACAGGGACCCCAACGCACTGACTGTCCCACCAAGCCCCTCTGCACTGCCCTTGGGAGGACCACCTGGGCTGCTGGGCGGCTCGGCAGCATTTAGTGGGGAGAAGACTCCCCCCGAAGCAGCCCCTTCCGCCTCTGTACCAAACTGACGCCACATCAACGCCTTTATGAGTAACGGTGCTCCCGACCTGGGCTCTGAGATGGCCTTCAGGTCTCACGCCTCGACAGCAAATCCTGTGAGAGCCCTTGCTTTTTCTGGTCTCACCAGTTTCCCACCTTTGACAGCGTATAGTCTCACTACTGTTCTATGTTCATTTTAGGGGAAAATACTTGTTTTCCTTCTCTGATGGGTTTCTGCCTAACACAGGTTCTGGCTCACAAGTTTTACTGTATGTGAGTTTTTCTAGAAAGAGGACACAGGCCTGTTGGCCCCTCCAGGTTTCTAAGAGGCCCTCCTCATCCTGGTTCCTCTGGGACAATCTTACAGCCAGGGGCTCTCTCTTACACTGAAGCTCTGCCTGTTGAGGAAAGCCATGTGCTCACACCGTATTTCCTCCTGCCATGCAGCTCCCTGGTAGCTGCCTGCACAGTCCTATTCCAGCAAGGAATGGGGACGTTCCCAGGGAGACAGTGCTGTGGGTAATACATGGCAGCAAAAAGGGGGGAAAGAGGCAAGGGGCAGAGCCCTGGGGAAGTCACTGTTGGGTCCCCTCAACTCTTAGCACGTCATGCCCACCACACCCAGTGGTCACGCCTCCTGTCCACTCAGGAACCATGAGGCCAAGCGCTGTGAGCCACGTCTCAACTACCTCCGACATCAACAAAGCGATCAATGCCAGCCAAAGACATGCACATGGCCATGAGAATGACCCCCACCAAGAACGGGCAGCTTTCAAGGGGTGGTTGTAATTCCAGGGCCTCATCCTTCATGGAATAGAAACAGTTTCCTATTCATCAAATTCAATTCCTGAATGACATGACCTCTCTTGCTTAAAAAATGGTAACTGTTGGTAATTAACATTATTTACTGTAAATAATGGCGTGTCAAAGGCCCAGCCTGCAGTCTCTGCATCCTTTACACACAAGCAGATCCCAATGCGATTTTCACCACCGGGCTACACAGGACATTAATGCTGGAAACAGTGTGCTCCATGCTCACGTTAGTTCTGCACAATCACTTCGGAGTAGTGACCCTCAAAAGGAAATCTTACACCCCGTGCCCCACAGTACAGGCCTTCTGTACTGACCAAGCCAAAGGGTCATCCAAACTGTCTCAGCAGCAGACGCATGTGTGATATACACGCCCACAGTGGCTAATCAGCATCGCATCTTACAGAGCAACAATGACCACACACAAAGCTTCTGATGACCACATTCCAAAGGCTGCAAACAGAGCAAGTGAAAACGAGATTGAAAAAAACCCCAAAAAAACCAAAACTCACTACCACCAAGTTGGTTTGACTCAGAGTAAGCCCTTCTTGGGTTTCCGATGCCTAGCCTTCCTTCCGCGAAGTGGCTGGTGGGTTTGAACTGCCTTCCTTCTGGTTAGCAGTCAAATGCCTTAGGCACCGTGTCACCAGAGCTCTTTGGCGGGAAAAGTCATTCTCTGCTCTGCTACGTACATTTAAGATAATTCTTTTCCACTCAGAAGCATCATGATCCTCCATGATATAAATCTAAAACAAAGATTTACTAAGTATAGAAGAGCCCTGGTGGGCAGTGGTTAAGGGCTTGGCTGTAAACCAAAAGGTCAGCAGTTCAAACGCATCAGCCACTCCACAGGAGAAAGATGAGGCAGTCTGCGTCCCCACAGCCTTGGAAATCCTATGCAGTTCTACTCTGTTCAACTCAGAAGTCACTGAGTTGGAATCCACTTGGTGGTGCGTTTGGTTTGATTTATAGGAAGACTTTATTAAACATCCATGCATTGTAAGGATTTTGACTGATAAAAGATTAGGGAAAATCTTTCTCTAATTTAAATCCAATAGGGAAAGTACTTTTTGTTGTTGTTGTTGTTGTTTACTCCTTACTTTCACACCCAAACCCGAGATCTTATTTAAATTCCTAATCTAAGAAGCTGAGTTTTAAAATGGACAATCCCTGAAAGGACTTGCTTTTCTTCACCCACTGCCCACCGCTCCCTGCTCAGTAAATGCAAACACCCTGTGCCCACTGTGGCAACAATGGTCCATCTCAGCCTGGCTCAGCCACATCAGTGCTGATCCAAAACAGAGCTTGGGACGCGGACAGTGCTGCTCTACTTCCTCCTTTAACACATACGTTACCAAGTCTATATACTGAACCACCACGAGAAAACAAACAAACAACCCAAAACACAACAAACCCAAAGAATGAATACCGAAACACAGACACTACCATACAGGAAAGAACAGGCAAACCGGTGACCCAGGTAAGTGTCTAACATGGCTTCCACATGACCAAAACAGGACTCCAACATGGCTTCCACATGACCAAACGGGACTTCCTACTCAAGAGACAGCTGTCCACAAAGACAGTGGGAGTGACTCTTCAATATGAAGAGAGCACGGCTACTAGATGCTAAGCTTTATTTTGCTTCTCATTCCAAAAACAAAACTCCATCCAGTGAACCTCAGAAGGGACGCTTCTAGCACCACTACAGGGAGGGGAGCAGTTACGATTTGAAGGCTTGATGCCAAGGTCTCCTGTGTGGTGTAAACAGGATTCTCCAGAACAAGAGGGAACCCGACAGATAACCAACACTTACAACAGACAGATACACACCTCTGGGTCTCAAATGCGCAGATAACATTTGCAGCTTTAACTACAGTGAAGACATCAGTGGTGGAAACAGACCCACTCACAGAGTTCACCTCCACGGGTATATGCAGCATGACATGTTTGGGCAAGGTCTACTGCACATACATGCCACCAACATGAACACGTTGTGGGGAAGACAAGCTCGCCTGGAAGGGCACCTGCGGCAGGGCTCTGTCAAGTCTGTGGTACCTAAGCCCCCAAGTAGGTGCCACCAGCTACCTGTCACGGCCCCCGCTGGCCTGTGTCCTGCCCGGCTGCCCTGCAGGGAGACAGTGGGCACTGCCCGCACTGTGGCTGCTCTGCTTTGTCCCTCGGGACTTCTGCTTTTGAACAGGCTCTGGGGGGCTTCTCGGAGAACACTGTGCACCCAGAGGCAGCCAATGGCAGAGACAAGGGTGCAAACCCTGAGAGCTAACAGCAAGCCAGAGCAGCCTGTGAGGCAAGATGGCATCAGAGCGCCTGCCTGCCATTCATTAGCCAGACGCTTGACTTTTCTAACTCAGTTTTGTCATCTGTAACATGAGGATAAGAGCAGCAGCTATCTGGAAGGGTTGTTGGCTTTGAATAATACAGAAAAAGCACCCGGTGCGGTACCAGGAACACAGTAGGCCCTCAATCAACGCTCTGAAAAGGAGGCAGAAGATGCATCTGAAACACTAGGCTCTGGGTCTGACACCTGTCACATCTAAACCTTAACTTGATGTGACTGAGCTGGCGGGGATGAGAGCAATGCAGTCGGACTCGCCAACCAGGAACTGCACTGTGTACAGTACATTCAGCACTCAGATCGAGCGACTGCTGCTTGGCTGTCTTCTCCCTGCAAATGTCACAGAGACTTTGCCCTGACCAAGGGAGACGCTAAGAACGTTTAAAGTGAAGCTGTGTACCTCAAGTATCACCTCAGAAAGAGCCAGAACCCAGCAGCTAGACTAAACCCAAGATTGTGTTTATATGTTTAATATGGAGACGAACGCCCACTCATCACTAATGCTGACTAAGGTTTCCCATGCCAGTGAGATCTGGGGGTAGGATCAACAATATGATTTCTGAAACATGTCCAGCCCCAGTCGCTAATACTCAAGTCTACTTAATTGGCTGTAAGTCTTCCACTTCCATTCAGAGGTACATAAGTGGGGTGTGAATTCTTCTCCATTAACAAAATCACAAATAATTTTAAGGCACTGGGTATCTGTGAAGCAGCTGTGGTGAGCAGCAAGCTCTTGCATGGTCGTGATGAACAACAGTCGCGAATACTGATGGAGATGAATGGCGTTCATGAGCGGAAACACCTACCAGCTCCACATCGGGTGGGACATTCAATCCCAAAGGGGCAACAAACGGCTCCTCATTTTCCTCCAGATTTTCAGCCTCATTTTTTTCTGTAGAAAAAGCAAATATAAAACATCAACACGACAAGGAAGGGATGCCTAGTACAGCATGCAACAGGTGATGGAAGAGCGGAGACTGGTGCTGCCCAACTCTGGGCCTTTTTATTGTTACGCCTAGAAACTTGCCAGTCTTCCTCACCACTCCAAATCTCCGATTTCACCAAACCCCAGAGCAGCAGGTGGAGGAGCAGGAGAGCACGTGCCACAGGTGGGACTGTTGTGTTTCCCAGCTCTCCACTTCCTGGCTCTGGGCTCCTGATGCCCAAAGTGTCTTCCCTGCCCTCGGCCAGAAACGCCAATGCAAGGCTGCTATGAGGTCAGTGACATCACCCAAGTGCACATCTGTGACAGAATATCTGATGCTCAGCAGGTTCTCGTTAAATGTTCAATGCATTTTCCTTCCTGGCCTCTCTTTTACCTCCTTTCAAACTATTTCTGTGGAATCCATGGCATCAGGCCAAATACACAAGGTACTTGACTATCAGATGAGTGATTTCCAACATTAAGACTGCAGTACCTGGGCACACCTGAGCTCTGGTGATGTGATGCCTACAGCATCTGACTGCCAATCAGAAGGCTGGCGGTTCAAACCCACCAGCCACTCCTCAGAAGGAAGGTTGGGCAATCTACTTCTGTAGTGATACCACCTCGGAAACCCAAGGAGGGGTGGCTATGAATTGGATCCAACCCAACGGCAATGAGTTTGGTTTTTGGTTTTGGTATATATGTACGTATATTCTATAGGTATATATGAACATATATATTTGCGTGTGTGTGTCTCTACATATATGACATTTTATTTCTTTTAGTGCAAGTTAAACATCACATGGGTCCAACTGCCATTAAAAAAAATTACCAACCTAGAAGGCAAAATTCTGAGAACCCAATTAAAGAAAAGAGAAATAAAATTATAAGACAATACAGAGAATCTGATATCTAAGAGAAAAGCATATTGAAATCCTTAAAATTCACTAACTGTGACCAGATTTAACATTATTCAGCCCAATAATTACATGAGACCATGGTCCAACATCTAGAACAGGGGTTGGCAAACTTTTCCTGTAAAATGCTAGATAGTAAGTATTTCAGTCTCAGTTGGCATATAGTATCCTATGCAACTACTCAATCCTGCCATTGTAAGGCAAAGGCAGCAAAGACAAAGATAAACAAAGGAACATGGCCATGTTCCAATAAAACTTTATTTACAAAAGCAGCACAATTGGGCCTGTGGGCTGCAGTTTATCAAACCCTACTCTGGAAGGTGAAGGAATTAACATTATGGATTTTTTTAAAGACCATCACTATGATCACTGACTGAATAAATTCCTTCCTTCTGATCAAAAATAGTATGTATTTAAAGGACAAATAACGGATATAGTTCAGAAACAAGATAAAACAAAATCTGAACTATCTGGAACCCTACAACTTGCTCTGAGTAACTGAATGAGAGCTCACTTCTTAGACCTTCAAGAATACTTCTAATGCGTCGAACATCTGGGAGATGGTTAGTTTCAAAAGTCTGCACCAAAGGTGTTGAATATCACAATTAAAATTACTTTTGGAAAAAAAAAAAAACCAGTCTCTTTGAAAGCTCACAGAGCATATGAGATAGATGGTCCAAAGTACGGACCACTGATGATACCAACATATGTGCTATCAATCTGGAAACAAAGAATCCAGAGTAAGCAATTTTCTGTTACGTGAAAATCACAGAGGAAAAAATGATGCGGCAACTCAATCCAATGCACATATTGAGAGAAAGTCGGAATTCACTTTTCATTCCCCTGAACCATCTATTTCCTAACGTTTGGCTCTATTAAAGGACACCCTTCTCATCCCCCACGTGTCAGAGGGATGCTACGGTCACGTGGGCACGTAGTGTGTTCTGAGGGTCGGACTGGCCAATGTGCTCCCAGGCCATGTGTCCTGCTCACCTCTCTGTTTGGAAGGCTCCTCTTCCTCTGTTGGTTCTGAGGGGTCATAGTAATCACTGCCGTAAGTGAACCCCACAGCGTTATAGCTCCCATCCTCCGCTAGAGCTTCACTCAGTCGCTTGTATTCTTCCTCTTGAACAAAAATGAGAATTTTATTCACAAAAATGGAAATTTACTGAGAAAACTTTTACACATTTCTAACGTTGTAGCTATTAGTAACGTATAAAACACAGCACTTTTTTCAACCTCTCTGAGGTGAAAACGTTTCTACAAATGTGCACTTTATGCCTAGCAATGTGTACTTTTGCCAGTTCATGTTTACCCACACAGCAGAATACACATCTTTTGTGGAAAATTTCTTCCTGCTGAGAAAATTTGGGGATTAAGAACCATATTCAAGATCGTTAAGGCAAAGACAAGAACATCAATTTCAATTTATACGATACTGTTAAGGAAGAACAGTTAAAGAGTTTGGTTTTTGTTTTTTCAAATCCCAGTCTGCCCTCAAAAGCTGGGAAAATTCTTTGTGGCTCTATATATAAACTATCCTGAGGTCCTCTCAGATACGCAAAGACTCCTGTTTTTCCAATCCACTGGGTACTGTCAAGATAATATCAGAAAGAGTGAGTATAAAAAATGAATGGGAGTAAATTTTTAAATACTTAAATTTTTAAAAAACGTTTGTGGCTGAAGGGAGTTTTTCTTGAGCAGTACCTTGCCTGGCCTCCTCCTCAAGCAAGTCCGTATGCAAGGCTAAATACCTCTCCTCATCACACAGGGCATCTATTCGGGCCTCCTCTTCTGACAGCTGGTAATCTCTGTTCCAGGTGGAATACTCGGCATCGTACTCGGAAAGGTCATGCAGGTGACCACGTCCGTCATATCTGTAATGTGAACAGACTGGTCAATGCAAAGAAACCGAAGTTCAGGTCTGTGTGTGTGGTAATTCACATACATACTTACCAATTAAAATAAAGCAAAATATTAAAGCAAATATAACATCTCAGATTTATCTTTTAGCTGGCTAGTCATCTCTCACCTACTTTTAAATTCAAGTTATCTCTTAACAAAGTCTAAATTCCTTTCTACAATATAATAAAACTTAAAATTAAAGGTAAGCAAGCCTTTAATAATAGTGTAACTGGTATCCACTTCACTGACAGATCTTACCGTTTAGCGTTTGGCTAACCATTCAATGTCACTTGCTAAAAAAAAAATTATTTTTTTTGAAAAGTCAAATATCATAGCTTACATTCACACAAACCCGAATACATAAATACCTATCCGTAAGAACCAAACGGTCGAAATTTCCTCGCTTCTTTCTGCTAGTCCCGAACTCTCAGGAGAGATCTTCACCAAAGAAACGTGCGTCCATTGGAGGTAAAATCTTGGCTAGGCTCGCTCCCTAGCCACTTGGCTGAGGAAATAAGTGCTGGGTTATGTGATAGAGAGACACACATACAATAGGAACAGTAACATAGACATGCAGTTTAAGGAGGTTCACTGGAAACAGAGCAAAACCATTAGCAGATTCAGCATCAATATTGTCTTCTAAACTTTTTACTCCCGGGAAATGATATACATGAAGACACCTCCATGTTCTTCTTGCATGGACCAACAGGGACTTCAGCCAAATTAAGACAAGAAAAGCACTTTTTGCTATGCTTTTAACATAAAAGGGTCAATCAACATGCTAACTGTCAGCGTGCATCTGTCAGGTAACAAATTAGTGAGTTAATGATTTATGGTTGCCAAAAACAACAAGTTTGCCAAATGATTTAAAGCTGACTTTTGTAATAGGACCAAAAATATTAATTAAAAAAAGAGAGACATTTACAAGGAGAGAGGGGAAAAAAAAGGCCCCAAATTCCAGAGTAGCCAACTTATTGCATTTTATTTCAGAGTTAACCTTATATTCATGTAAACCTCCTTAACTTACAAATGCAAATCATTATTCAAAGATACTATACATGTACATGTGTAGAGTTTGCTCCCCACCAGCTTTGAAAGATCTAACTCAAATCCTACACAGGATGCTACAGAAAACTGACGACGACCTCAGTCCTCGTCCGTCGTTTACCACCCTTCATCAAACCCAAGGAAGACGCCAGAAAAGCGAGCTGCCTGATAACTGAGGCACCATCACTGGACACGCACCACGGTTTAACGGCACTGTGTGTCTTGGCAGAGCACGGAACCCTCAGATCCAGATCTGAGCCGATCTGCCAACCGTCCCTCCGCAAGTCCTTGTTTTCTAGATCTGACTCCAAAAGGAAATGTCAGGGGTGGAAACGGCCTGTTTGGTCATAACGTGGTCCAATCTGGCCAGCTCAGGAGTCACCCCTACAGTCATGCTCCAGGGCTTTGCAGGATCCAGTGTGTTAACGTCCCCAACGCTGGGCTTCCTTCACTTGGAGGCTATTCCACAGTGTAATGCTTGCTCACGGTTAGCCTTTCAGTCCGGGCCCCGTACTGCTGCCAAATTGGCTACAAAAACACCCGTGAGGAGAAGGAAGGAGGGATTGGAGAAGCAGGTAGGAGGGCCAGGACGGGGAGCAAACAAGCTACATCATGTCATGTCATCCTTTTCAAATCAGACATCTTTGTGGGGGTTGTCGTTATGTGCCCTCGAGTGGTCTCCGACAGAGGCGGTATCTCTACGGAAGTAGACTGCCCAGCCTTCCTTCCCAGGAGCGGCTGGGGGGTTTGAACCCCCAGCCTTCTGGTTAGCAGTAAAGTGTCTTAGGCACTCTTTAGACATCTTTAGACATCGCCAATTGCCCCTCTGCTCAGGGTCTTAACCCCCTCCAAGGTCAATGCTTAAAGCAGGTTTGATGTGAAAAGGAAAAACACCCCTGTACCCCGCTGCACCCTTTAGTCTCCAAGGACAGCGAAACCAGCCCTAAGCACACTGGCTCCGAGGGTCCCCAGGCAGTCGGCCGGCCTCCGAGTTAATTGCCACTTCGCCCACGACGGGAACCTGCCCGGCTCGTCGGGTCATTACAGGTAAGGGCCACGCGTCACTCCGGCCGTGCACGGGCGCCGGGGCCTGGCAGGGCCAAGGCCTCCTCGCAGGCTCCCAGGCAGGCTCCTGCGCGGCCCCAGTAGCGGAGCTGCGCGCGCGGC